GTGAGCACGCTGCTGGCACTCCTCCAGGCCCAGATCCCATCCTCTGTCCTTAGGGATGTGACGTATCAATTGAGGCAGCTCGGCGATGCCTGGAATGCGCTACCAGCAATGCACTGTGCTCTGCTTCCAGCAGCACGGCGTCTCCTCTCCCAGCCCCTCCGAGTAAGCGCAGAGCATAGAGGTACGGTTGTAGCTTTTGAGTCTTTGAATCTGCTTCCTACGTGCGCTTGGACAACGGAAGTGAGGATGGAAGCAAGAAGAAACGCGCTGCTGGCATGCGTTGAAAGCTGCCTCTGCGGGTCCAGATGTTCTAAATCACATGTGGAGAAGTGTTTGTGGTCAGATGCTGTTTGAAACTGATTGTTGATAGCCTCCTGAGACAGCCTGTGACAAATTGTATAATAAAAAAGCTAAAAATAGCATAGTTATTCCCTGGAAAAGCAAAGTTCCCACAATTCAGCAAGCTGGGAAAATCGTTGAACTTTCTTTGGACACAATGTGCTGGTTTTTTGTTCTTCAGCCTTCCGTGGGTCCCTCGGCGTTTTTATGACAGTCCGTCCTTCTCCTACCAGCTCCAAGGAACGTTTCCGGCCCCTGCTCCCACGTGGCAGCTGAATGGATGGCCCATTGATGGAGTCTCCCCATGCGCCGACCTTACGCTTTGTTCCCTGCTGCTGCTGGCCGTTGTGGGTTTGTGTTTGTGGAAGAGATTTCCATTTATCATTGAGGAGAGCAAGCTCTCAAGGCACGTAAGTGATAGAACCAAAACAGTCTCTGTCCACCGACTATTGGAAAAGTATCCCCATGACCAGAACTACCCTTTGCGTGCTTTTAGTCTGTATTTCTTTGACAACGATTACAGTTTCTGCCTTATTTTGGCATGAAATTGCAGCTTGGCAGCCACGTATTCTGTAGGGCTGTGGTGTTGACTCGCCATGCATCTGACGTGCTGCTGTGCTCTCCTCTGTGCAATCTGGGGCATGCAGCAAATTTGGGGGTAGAGTAAAACCAAAGGGACGGAGCAGAGTACAATTGGGAACGCGGGTGTTTTATGAGTGTTGCAGATGAAATATGTGCTGAGTTGCAGGTCTGAAGTTTGGATCCCGCATGACGTCTTGAGGATAGCATTTGTAATAGATTCAATCTGCTGACAGGCTGGCTCTCCATTCCAAACCACCAGTGCAGTTGCCTCCACAAGAGCCTGCCAGGCACTGCCTACAACTAAAAGATAGCAACTGATGTTTCTTTTTCTTCTGTAAAGATAAAATGAAATGTGTGGTGTGAGGGGAACAGCTGCAGTCACCTCTATGAGCTACTGCAAGGAAAAAGATGAGGAGCACAGCAGCAGCACCCAGCCCAGCTCTGTTTGCACGCATGGCGCTGCTTCCTTCCAGGTTCTGGAGCAGGAAAAAGCAGAGAAATGTCTCTCACTCACCATATGAATAATGTAAATAAATATGTATTTCTTTGTGGGTTTCCAGTAGGTCCAACCCTCCCGCGGGTCCTTCCTGCAGCAATTCTCTTGGTCCGTCGCTAGTAAATAAACGTGGCTCTCAATGTCAGGAAAGTTAATTGGCTGCATAATGTGCAGAGAGCAAAATTGCTTTTCCAAGATTTATTCATCAATTACAGTTTGCCCTGGATGTTGCGGTTTGAACCATTCTCTGGACAGGGGAGAAGCATGTGAGATAGAAAGAGAGGCAACTTGTTCTCATAAAAGACCTGCTGCAGACGTGCAGATGGTGTGTTTCAGCTGTTCCAAGACAGGTATCCTATTAACAAGCTAACAAACATGTAAATGAGGAGCCAAGGACTATCACTGTATTTGAGACAGCAACGCATATATTTTGCTTGTAATTAGTGAGTGTTGTCTGGTGTCTCCCAAGTGAGGCTGTTTGCTCACCATCTCCAGTGCTAGTGAGCCACATAAACCTCTCCCTCACCTCTCCCTCTCCTTTTCTCCTATGCCAATGCCAGAGTTAAAGCTAAAGCCAAGTCAGCCAGCCCTCAAGCTGTATTTTTAATTAAGGTTGTAATGGGAATGGCGTGTTTGTTCCCCTCTGGAGAGCTTGCAGATCTGAGAGTGCTGCGCAGTGCATGACCAACAAAGCGGCATTGCCAGCTGTGCTTTGAGAGGGTCAATGTGGGACATGGAGAACAGGCGAAGTGGCCACACGGAGGAGCTTTAAAGTCGTTTAGCGGGATTGAGAGCATCTGGTGGGATCTGACCCCTTGGAAAGACACTCCTGTGAGGAAGCACGGGGCTCTGTGGACTGTCAGCTCCCACGCTGGCTCTGATGATGCTGTTGTTGACCTTGTCTCATTACTGTTGTTTAACTGCCTTGCTAAGAGGCATTTAATTACTTTCCTATGTGTTAGCAGGGCTTGCTCTTGTTGTAGAGCACAATGCGAGCTGTGCTGCCCAGAAATACTTCTCGATGCTAGGAAATAGAGGAGGCAAACCATGGTGTCCACTCTCAGTGCTGCCACCTACAAATTGCTTGGCTCCCCAGGAGGTCTCTCCTGTGCCCACAGCATCTCTCGCTGAAGGGATGCGATCTTCTGAGGCTGGGAGGTGAATGCCAGCCATTCCAGGCAGCAGCTCTCCCTCCCAGCAGAGCCCTGGGAGCTGCTTCTGGGATGGCAGCACTGGGAACAAACATCTGTCTGCTGGTAGGAGCTCCAGGGGACGGATCCTGCCCAGCCTCAGCAGCCATGTCCTGTGTGTGTGTGCCCTCCTGGCTGTGCTAAGTGCAGTTAGGAAATCTGAATCCTTTATTCAGCACTGGGAAAGAGACATCTGCTTTTGTAGCATATGCCCTTTTGTTCGTTCACGAGATAAAATGAGATGGACTCGGAAGCAGTCGGAGAGAGAATTCACATGTCTTTCCAGACCATCAAATATTGTTCAATTTCTTATCATCTCAAGACAGATCCACGATCTGATCTGAAGTCTGGAGACCAGGGGAGTTTTAAATTGTTATGTGAAATGCAATTCGCTTGGCTGAGGTAAGGCACTCAGTCTGCTCGCTGTCACACGAGAGCATAAGATGTACCACCTGGTGCCCAGATGAATGTTTGCTTTGAAAACGAAAATGTGACTCATGGAAAATCGTGCACATGGGGAGCTTCCTGTCATTCAGTGTGAAACTACTTTTATTTTTATTAATTATGCCTGATATAATGAAATGGCTCAAGATATGAATGTGCTTGCCCCCTTTCTCCTTCCACTGTCTCCACTCCTCTCATTTGTGCAGAATGAAGCCCGAGTTTCAGGCCAAGTGCTGCTGGATTGAAACCAGAGAGTGCCAGGAGGAAATCACTACTGTGCTGAACACGGGGATGATGTCTTTGGAATGGTCAATTCACTGATTAAATGGGGTAAAATTGCTTCAAGACACCTGAGAGCCACTCGCAGGGATTCTAAGACACAGGTGTCACAACCTGAGCAGATCTCTGAGCCCACCTTGTGGAAACGTTGGAAAGCCCATGAGATGGCAGTGCCTCAGACCTAGAGACATTATTTGCTGTTTATAAAGGTAAGTTTTATGGCCTAAAGATCTCATTCACTTTTCTGCGCTGCTAGAGAAGCTTTCACACGCTCCGGTTTCTGGAGTGAGCTCTTTGGTGTAAGGTAACAATACCATGGGGTTGTCATCTTCAAACGGCTGCACAGCAGCACCTGGGTGGTGCCCAGGGCCCTGTCAGAAGGAGGTAGGCAATATCCCTGTTTCAGTTGTTGCAAGAGAAAAGCAAGGCAGGTGTTGGAGATGAGGGCCAGCAGGAAAAAGAGGCTTGAGCCTCGCTGAAAGTCTCACCACTGCTAAATCCTCCTCCGTGCTTCCTGCATTTCTTTGATTTCTCTATTCTTTCCCATTCCCATCACCCACTCCTCTTCTCAAGCCTGTTTCCCCAGCCACAGGACTCCGGGCACCCATCCTGTCCCTTACTCTGTGATGGGCTTTGCTGCTGCGATGAAGTTTTATTTTGCAGCTGAGAACAAAATAAATCTTCGTTCTGGTGGTGGCAAAATTTGCTGTAGCCCACGTGCTGAAAAGCCCTGGGCTGACTCTGCCGCCACATCTTGTTCTACTTAAACTGTTGCTTTTAATAGACCCAAAATGTTTGTGTTACAAAAGATGTTTCCTTCTCCTGCAGGAGAACCATGTGGCTCTGTTCCTTTCAGAAGTCCCCTGCCAGGGCTGTGCTTTGTTAGCTCACAGGGCACTAATGACACCGGGATTAGTGGACCACCCAACTGCAAAGTTGCCTTTTGACTTCAGCTTCAGTGGAAGCTTGCTTGGAACTTGTTGAGAGGCAACTTGAAACATCTCATGAAAGTGCATTTCAGATGCCAGCTCCTACCTTTAATTAACCATCTGAAAGCTTAACAGCTGGGGTATACAGTGGATTTGGGGAGGGATTGCAGATTAATTGGTAACTTTGTGTGAGAGCTGGAAATCTGGTTTTAGAAAAGCACTTCTCTGTTACATCTTTCCCCATTTCCCATTTCAGTGTTCCCCATTGCCAGTGGCATTTCCTTCTCATCAGCTTTTTCTTGGCAGAGATTTCAAATGCTGGCAAGAATCAGTATCTGCAAGACTTTGGTTGAAGACACACCAAAACTTTTGGCTTGGTAATGCTATTGGGTCATCTCCAAGGATTCTGCTCTAAACTTGGGTTTTTGAACATTTCTGTGTGATCTAAAGCTCAATCACAGTTTGGTGGTAACCAAGGCTGTTGGTAGAGCTTGGACTTGGCCCCCTGTGTGACCAAGTAGCCAACTCTGGCATAAGCAGCCCTATGGTGCTCTCTAATCCCTCACTCAACAGTCACCAGGGCTTGAAGCCCTGGCTCATTTATCTCCTTTGTGGAGGGATTTGACTACCTTCTTGAGACCAACTTCGACCACGTTATTGACCACCACACAGTCTTGCCAGCACTTGAAGTTCAATCCCACTCACACTCTGCCATCCAAAACGATCCAGAAACTGCTAATGTGCTTTGCTTCTACAGCATTTATTGTGCTACAGTGTGACTGCCATGCTGGGGTCTCTGGCAAGGATTGTCCCTCAGATGTCTCCTTTCAGCCAGCAGTTCTTGGCCACTTGCCCCGCTCCAGGCCGGCACTCCGCACTGAAGTTCAGTAGCTGGGCGATGAGAGCCCGGCAGTGCTCTGGCAATGGGGGTGTTCCCACTGGGTACAGGACCCCCTTCTTCTGCTGCTGGGGTAGGCTGCGGACGTGGGTGTCATTGAAGGGCATGTGGCCGGTCACCATGACAAAAAACATCACCCCCAGGCTCCACATGTCGGATTTCTTGCCGTCGTAGGGGATGCCCATCAGCACCTCTGGGGAAGCATAGGCTGCTGAGCCGCAGAACGTGTTGCACAGGTCTGGGTAGACGTTGACCTCCTTGCTGAAACCAAAGTCGGTGAGCTTGGCCCGGCGGCTGTCAGCAGTCAGCAGCACATTCTCACACTTCAGATCCCTGTGCACCAGATTGCGATCGTGCAGGTAGCGCACAGCTCCCACAATCTGTGCAAAAATGTCCCGGGCTTCAGGGACGCAGGGCATCTTGCCCATCTTCTGCACCAGCTGCAGAAGGTCGGTGGCTGCTGCCTCCATCACGATGTAGAGCTTCCCATCGCACACCTCGATGAGCTCAAAGATGTGCACGATGTTGGGGTGACGGATCCTGCGGAGGATGGAAAGCTCCCGGGGCAGGAATTTGTACACGAAGGCTGGAGGGGCTTGTCGCCGATCCACCACCTTGATGGCCAGGGGGACTTTGTGTTTGGTAGAGGTGGCTGCTTTCACCTTTGAGAAACTGCCCTCCCCTAAGGTATGACCCAGCTTGTAGCCCAGCTCATTGAGGGCCTTCTCACCCGCACTGATTTTTGGCATGCTGGGTGATTACAGTGTGCTTTAGCAAAGTTCGTGTTTTGCTCCTGGGCTTCAAGACTTAATACATGGTGTGTGGCAGTGGTTGATCTTCACCTTCGTGTGTACAGGTGCCCCGTGGAGGTCAGGACTCACCCAGCATTGTGATGGAGTAGAGAGCTGTGGGGAAGTGTGATGTCAAGAGTGTGAGGTGGGTCCCCATGGCTCTTCAGTGCCCCTGCATGCCTGTGCACATATAGGGGGAGAACAGTGACTGCTCAATCGCAGAACTGTTACGGTTGGAAAAGACCTCTAAGATCTTCTAGTGCAACCAAATATTTTACAGGTTTTTTTTACCTTTTTCTGCTCTTCACTTGAGTTTTCGAAGTAGGGGTTGTCTGATGATGAGAGTTTAAATGTGAGTTCTGGGACAAGCAATCACCGTGGGGATCTGTGCCTCTCTTCAAGATACTGGTTGTATTAAAATCAGAAGTACACAGAGTGGCACAGGAGAGGGTTTTTTTCCATCCCTAGCTACAAGCCACCTGACCACATGTAAATATTTGGGTTTTGATTACAGTGTTGCAGGGAATGGTTTTCTAGGCAGCTTTCTGACTCCGTGAGGCATGGATGGGGAGCTTTATCTTTCATAAGGAGCAGTTCTTGAGCTCCTCGAGCCTGGAATTGCACTCCTTCTCTTTCAAGCAAAATTGATAAACATGATAAAAATGAGGCATTCTCTTGCTATAAGCTGGGGCCCAGAGCAGGAATTGTCCTCTTTCCCTTTGCAGCACTCCTCATTCACAAGAACAGCTGCTTCTGGCCAGTGCTGCTTACAGACCAGTGCCTCCCTGTGATGCATACATTTCCTTTCTCACTATAAAAAGGAGCCTAAGACCACAAAATGTCCGTATTTCTGAATACAAAGCCAAATGCTATTTTTGATTTTTGAACATATGAGGGCTGCTCCAAAAGCAATGCCTCCTATTTTATTCTGTTGGCCCAGAGGCAGGTGTTGGTGGTGTGGTGGTAGAGCTGGCACTTTCCTGACAACCGTTTTGGTGCTAGAATTCATCTGGGGCCAAGGGTCTCTTTTTGCTTAGGCCAGCAATAACTGCACTGGGATTTCTGCCTTCGGAATGGTGGATTCCTGGCAATTCCATCTAGGCTGTGAATCATAACCACAGTGACTTTAGCAGGGGTTGGAGCTTACTTCTCAGAGGAGTTGGGATTTGGGGCGACTAAACATAACTGAATGAATAAAGCAGTGTCTTTTCATAAAGGAAAAGGCTTACACCAGGCTTCCTTTCCCTTCTTGGTAGCAGTATATCTCAAGAAAATGCCATCCTGAGATCTGACAGATGGGAGGATGTTTTGTAGCTATAGCATAGTGGGAAGTTCATGTCATAGGCGTGTCCCAGAGCTTGCAGGTAAGATCCTCGCTTATGGGAAAGCTCTTTGAAACCCCCGTAATAACATAACCCAGAAAAAGCCGTGTGCCGTGCACCAGCGGGTGCAGTACCTCCAAGGGGCCGGTAAAGCAAGGCCAGCTGGCAATGGGGAAGCAGCAGATCCTGCAGCAAATGCTCCCCCTTCTGTACACTGCCGGCTAAGCCGGCGGTACACGGGCTTGTTCACTGCGATGCCGACGGATGACAGCAGAGGCTGTCTTGCAGCAGGTTCAGGCACTTGATGAAGGGAGTGTAGCCAGCACAGGACATTACCTGATTGGTAAGTGGTCTCATTTTGTTAGCGATGTCATTTGTCCCCCGTTTCCCAAGCTCTGTTCAGTGAGCTATTCACAGGTAATTGATCTCTGGCCTGTGTGATGTCTGAGCAGTTGGAAAAATGGGTCAGATCCCATGAAAAGCACACCAGGCACAAGCTGCCTCGGAAGCTGAGGTGCTATGGCTACCCTTGATCCTTTTCTGCAGAACCAAACTGTGAAGTTATTTTGGGTACTGGATTAAACGGACGTGGAAAGTCGAAGGAACAGAAGCAAAAGAGCTAAGTGCAAAGCCTCACCTCTGAGTGTTTTATGGAAGCCGTGCACGTACAACTGCAGCCTGGGGTTTGCCATGGGCCCACAGCTCCTTCCTGGCAGCAACAGCAGCACTGGCACTGGAGAAAAACCAAGTTGCAGGTAGAAAGTTATGTTTGGTAATAGGTTGCTGTATGTTTTTGTTTCCTTCCTTGCATGTCTCAGGGATTGGTGTTTGCTTAAAATACTCTGGCTCTGATTTTTTTTCACACCTTTGGTAGATGAGGGGATCCAATGTTCAGAGCAGATGTGATCCTTGCAGCTGTCTGCCCTCAGATCTTACCCAGATCAGAGAATCACAGAACAGCTCCGGTTGGAGGCCCTTCAAGATCACCCAGTTCCAACCCTCTGCTGTGGGCTGGTTACCATCCAGCAGATCAGGCTGCCCAGAGCCCCATCCAACCTGAGTGCCTCCAGGGAGGGGACATCCACAGCTCCTCTGGGCAGCTGTGCCAGCCCACGTCCTCTTGTTCAAACACAACAAATCTGTGCAGTTGGTTGCAGGACCAACAAGAGATCTCCTAGAAATTCATCAGGATGCACTGAACGCCAAACAAAAAACGCTATGGACATCCATTTGCTTACCTAAGCTTGCTCAGACATGAAAGAGAAACCTGAACCTGGCACTGCCAGTGTGCCTGAAACATCTCTTCACGCAAATGAGAGTTCAAACCATGTGGGGGATATAAAACATGAGGCAAGGAGTTGGGAACTGGTACATGGCAATGGGCCACATCACCATCCCCTGGGCAGCTTCTGAGCACCTCAGTAAGTGCCAAGGGAGGTGAAGGATGGAAAGGGATAATTGGCTGACCTGAAGCGAGCTGTTGCATCTGGCACTGCAGGGCTTCACCTGCCAAATCTCAAGCCTGAAGGCAATCAGAGAGATTGAAGTGAGAGACAAAAGGGACCAATCCCACGGTTCAGGGAGTAGGGGATTTTCCTGTTGGTTCTGTACCAAAATCCCTTTTGGAAGGAGTGAAGATTGAGATTTTATGCTTTCATACTTGCGGTAAGCCTGGCTTAAGAGAGAGCTAGGGAAAATCAACTGCCTAGGGCTTTTTGTCAGCTTTTTCTCTGCAGTGTTGGAGAGTCTGGTTGGAGTGTCACACCCTAAGTCTCTTAAGGGACTATTTTGTTCCTTGATTTTTTTTGTGCACTGCTTCAAGGGTATATCTCAGAATGTGTTTCATAGCAAAATAATGCTTTGCAGTGGGCAGGAGAGTTGAGCGAACCATAAGCACTGAATAAACTAGTAAAGAGCATCAATAAGTTTGGATATAATAAGGGCAGAGTGGGATGTGAGACTTGAAGTGAAGAGCCCAAGAAGTGCTGGGCACAGCTGAATACAGCAGGGCCCTCTTGGGCTTGGTGGAAACGGAGCTGCACGGTGATGGGGGTCAAGAGAAAACTGGGGAAATTAGAAGCTTTTATTACCACACTGAGTTATGGCAGTTAAATCCAAATACAATTAAGTTAGAAAAGCAGATAAGTGTTTTGTGGTTTAGCTATCCCAAATGAGTGCCACTGAAATCTCTTCCTTGTGCTGATTTACTTACCTGCCTGTGGAGAATCTCATTGCAGAGCATTATGTATTCAGAAGGAGGTTTACTTGTCTGGCACATATTGTAATTAATTTTTGCCCAATTAAGTGCCGCAGAGCTTTGTCTGCATACCATAGACTGTCATGTCCTAATTACAGAGTTGGAAAGTTGCTAGTGAAGGAATATGGCTACGGACATGTGTACAAGGTATGGAAGCTGTGAGAGGCTGCTTTCATGATTTGCTCTCAAGATCCATGCTCAAATGCTTCCTAAGAAGTGCTTGAATCACCAGCCCAGTGAGAAGGGCTGGTTGCTGGGGAGTGAATACAGACTTGGTTGCTCAAGTGGCAGGGTGTATCCTTCTGTAGAAGACCTTGCGTTGCATTTGTTGCTTTGTTTCCCAGAAAAGTGGGCTGCTGGCTGGACTGTACCTTTCCCTGAAACAACAAGTCCTTGGAAAGGAGAAATGTGGTGCTCTTTTTTACAGGGTGGAGGGCAGGGGGTGGAAGGACCATGGCATGCCCACGCTGTGCTGATCAGATGATGTGTGCTTATGAGCCATGAAGTACATCTACACAGAGCCTTCTTGAGGGCAGGTGTTCATTACAAACAGACCTTTATGACTGCAGGTCTCATTGTTTGCCACCTTCATTTGTTCTAGGAATTAACGCTGGCTGACTGAATGGTGGGTTTTCCCACTGAGCACTGCTCATGCTAAGGGAGGGCTTGGAGTTTGACTTGGGATTTTTAATTTTCTTCTGATTCCAATACAACTCCTTTCCCTGCTCCTGATCTGAGCTTTAAATCTAAAACGACGTGCGGAGGGTAAGGAGCTCCCGAGTGAAGGTGGCAGTCTGCCCTCAGAAATGAAACCTGCCTAGTTCAGATGCTTCCAGGCGAGTCAGCCCCAGCAAGAAACAAATTGTTTTAACAATAGATTTAATTAGCTGGTGTTTGTACTCCTGCACAGCGTGGCGAGTCCCAGCGCACCTGCTGGCGGGCCTGTCTCAAAGCCCTGGCGTCCTCTGTGAAGGAGTGTGAGGAATGACTGAAGTGTTAAATAAGGACATCAGTAAGCGTGGCCGTTCCCTGCAGGCTGCTGGGAGCCGCGTGGAGAAGAAGGCAGCGCTGTCTTTTGTGAAATGGCACAAAGAAAATAAACATAACTGCAATGCAACTTCCGGCAAATATTTTTATATCTTTATCTTTAGCTAGATCGCAGCTCGTGATGTCCTGCTGCTGCCATTTATGCTCTGAATGTATGATACTTAAATCTTTGACATTTGGGACAGCTTTTCCTGAGTGTATACGTATGAGGAGGTGGTGGGGTCGTTTTGTTCTGGGGTGTTGCTTTCCTTCCTCCCCCTCCACCCTAGCTCTGGTTTATCTCAAGTCAGAAATAGTTTTCCTAAATGCCAGGCCTGAAAACTTGTCCTGGGCTCCGGTGGTCACTCTTCCACATTTCTTCTTCCCTCTTCCTGTGTCATTACCTCCCTAAAGATTATGTTGCCCCAAAGGCAGCCCTCTTGCAGGGCAGCATCCCTGGGATGCCAGCTGGCTGTGCTGGGCAGCATGTAGCCAACACAATCATTTTGGAATACATGGTCAAATAAATCATGGTATGAGGAACACCCGGCTATGTGTAACCTAGGAATGCTAGATTACAGAAGCAGACTTCGTTTTGTTTCCCTTGATTATGCACCCTTTCATTAAATTGGGAGGTGGAAAGAAATGGCTGTTTGTTTGAGGATACCTTGCTTTGCCATCTCTGGGCGGCTGATGACTTTTTCCTTGCAGAGGAAAGCTCCTTGTCCCTCCTGCTCCTTTTTCCAAGCAAACACTAAGGCAGCATCTTCTTGGTGCTGTGCTCTTTTTCTTGGTTCTTGCTTGTCTTCAGTCTGTATAAATGCACTGGCTGGTCTTGTTTGGCTCTGTTTCCAAGGGCAGTGTGACTGCTGCTTATTGGCACATGCTCTCAGTTTGTTGCAATTTTGGCAAGATTTAACTGCATGGTCTGAACAGTTTTGTGCCAGGCAGGACTAAAGCTGAGTATTTTTAGGAAAGAATCAGTATTTAAGGAAAGTATCATTTCTATGGGCAGGGAAGAGGAGCAAAGCCTATTATTTGCGGTATCTCTGCAAAGCAAGGTCCCCTCATCTGGAGGGATGAGAGCTTCTGGCAGGGATGTGGCCTGCTGAATGTCTGCTCTGTTTTGGACAGGTTTGGCTCAACTGAAGCAGCAATTGTGGTAGCAGTCGGGGCAACAAGACCTCCTCTTATAGCAATGACGTTAGGACAGTAACATCTCCCATGTACTACGCTTCAGTCTCAAAGTCACTGCAATGTCTTGAATGCACGGAGAAGCATAAGAGAGTAATGAGGCTAAATTATGCCAGGATCTGTGACAGGCAGAAATAACTCCGAACAATATAACCACGCTCAATTTGGATCTGTTTGCGCTGGTCATGCCTTGTATTTACATGCTGCTGTGGGAAACTATTTTTAAATGTTAAAACTTAACACCTGCAGGCTAAATGGGTTACAAATGATAACATTTGCACTGTAGTTTGTTTTGCAGCACCTCAAGAAAGGCAGCTGGTTGGAGTGATTTATTTTCATTCCTGGGGGGGTCGGGGGATGCAAGGTTCTTGAAGAGCCCTTGTGACTTCTAGAGGAAAAGCACCAAAAATGCTGGGCACTTGGGAGCTGCAGTCACAGAGACTAGGCAGTAGCAAATAGAAGCCTAATCCACAAGATTCTCTCAAAATGTCTCTCTAATGCATGGGTGTCCAACCGTTTGGCTTGCCTGAGCTGCACTGAATGAAGAGGAATTGTCTTGGGCCACTTGTAGGCTACTCTGAAAGTAATGCCTTCTCTATCTTTCCATGGAAACTACAACGGATACAGTGAGCATAGGGAGATTATTGTCCCTCTCTATTCTGCTCTTGTGAGGCCCCATCTGGAGTACTGTGTCCAGGTCTGGAGCCCCCAGTACAAGAAAGACAGGGAGCTGTTGGAGAGGGTCCAGAGGAGGGCCACCAAGATGATGAGGGGACTGGAGCACCTCCCCTATGAGGACAGGCTGAGGGAGCTGGGCTTGTTCAGCCTGGAGAAAAGAAGGCTGCGGGGTGACCTCATTGCAACCTTTCAGTACCTAAAGGGAGCCTGCAAACAGGAGGGGAGTCAACTCTTTGAAAGGGTAGATAACTGCAGGACAAGGGGAAATGTATTAAGTTGAGGGAGGGAAGATTTAGGTTGGTTGTCAGGGGGAAATTCTTTACAGAGAGAGTGGTGAGGTGCTGGAGGCTGCCCAGAGAGGCTGTGGATGCCCCGTCCCTGGAGCTGTTCAAGGCCAGATTGGATGGGGCCATGGGCAGCCTGGTCTAGTATTAAATGTGGAAGTTGGCGGCCCTGCATGTGGCAGGGGGGTTGGAGATCGAAGCTCCTTGAGGTCCCTTCCAACCCAGACCATTCTGTGATTGTAATAGAACAAATTCTCAATTACAAAACACTCTTTCTCAACATAGACACCACTATTAGCCATGCAGTGATGAACAAGAGCCTGCAGACCTCTTTGGGAAGAGAGGTCTGAGAGAAGTCTGGTAGAGAGACATGGTCAGATTTTTGAGTTGAATATCTGGTCACAACTTCACACATTCCATTTGAAAATTTGCAGGTCGTGTATTTGTGTCGGCTGAAAATGGTCTCACAAATATGAACTGATGACTGAAAGCAGTCTTGAAACCTGTGGGCCACAGGTTGGACAGGCCTGATCTCATGTCACTTGTATGTTGCACAGCAGCAATGAGAAAACTGGACCTCTGATACAGTCAGATTACTTTCCCACATGAAATGTATGACGTTGGTTAGGCATTAGCTGAGAAAACCCTTGAGGGCTGATGAGTGATGAGACATCCTCAGTGACTAAACCTTTCCTGAAATAAGTAGTCAGAATCACTCTAGAGCAACACTGCATGCCTCTGACCAACTGCTGGGTGATGGAGCCAACCACTGTAGGGAAAACACTCTCAGTGTGGACTCATAGGTCAATTTTTCATGAGGTGTAGATCTAATTCACAAGTTCCATTGGCTTACCTGTACTGTTGCTACCTGGACAGATCATGATCACCATGGTCTCTACTCCTTCCCAGCGTTACTCTCCGCAGGTTCCATGTGTTCCTAGTTGAAATGCAGAATTCCCTTGCAGACTTTATAGCTCTGGTTTCTGAGATGGATTATTTGAAGGAGAAATTCAGGGTCAGATACGCTCAGAAAAAGAAATGTGTTTAAGAGATTGGTAGTGAATTCTCATGTCTTCTTTCCCTTCATTTTTCTGCCAGGGAAAATGTTCTTTACTCTTATAGTGTATAGTGGGGAATTTCCCAGCTAGCTCCCTTTGTTTTCAGTTTCAGTGTTCTTTTGTCATATCCTTGCTGGCAGACACAACCTCTGGCTAGGGTGGAGCTGCTGTTTCTCCAGCTCCTCTGAAATTCCTCCTTAGCACTCAATATCAACCACATCTGGTGTGTCAGTCCTGCTTGACTGCAAGGTGCTGCTTGGGCATTTTGGCCTCAGGCATGGGACCTGGATGATGAAATCTTCCTTGGAAGTCCACCACGTTGGTGCCCGCCCTGATGCTTGTCAGGAGAGCATGACAAGCTGAAGGCATTGCTTCTCAAGTGCTGCTTTCACTTCTTGTAACCCCTCTCTCCACGTGGCTCCTGGAGCTGATTTTAAGTGCTCTAGCTTTATTTTTGTAACTCACAGAATAGGCAGTTCTGCCTACCGGTGTTTAATTCTTCTGTGTGCACAACTGCTGGTGTTCTACAGGAGGCAGTGAGCACTGCTTTGCTTCCTCACCCCTTTCACTCAGGACTTTGTTACTGGCAGCTGAATTTTGTAGCCCAGTTCTCCCTGCGCAGGCCCACCTCTGCAGTCCTTTGGGTGCCTCTAGGGCATCTTCAGGGCTTCACTGCAGCAGTGAGCCTCAGAAAGGCCTCAGAAGTTTTCTTACCTCTATGCAGACACATTGGCATTCCAGTCTTCTCCCTGTATCTTGGAGGAAGGCTTCAGTTCCTTACTTTCTTGGGTAAAACGTTCTGTGGAGGTTGTACTACATGCTATCCTGGTCTCTGTGAGGTGACTATGGTTGGAATGTGACTGGGAAGTCCTCTCCTGCCCATCCTGGCTGTTCTTGTGTTTGTCATCTTCTGGAGGAAAAAAATAATACCTCTGGGTGTTATCTCAGTATTACCTCCTGCTTCCCCCTGCTGCTGCAGTTGCATGCTGGGCAACTGTTTCTTGTCTTTCTGACATGCCCACAGTCACATCTGTGACCCTGGGTTAATTCAAGGGACCACGACTCTGTGTGCTTAATCTACTGGCACCTGATGCAAGCCCAAAACCCAGCAGCAGCACACCTCTCTCAATGTGTCGTTGAGACAGCCATTGCTGCTTGCTTGGCTGTGCCCCTCATGGAAACGAGTGTGTGAGGTCAGAGCTTTGCCTTCTTGCAACAGGCATGGATGTTTGCATGGATGTCAGGAGGACAAACAGAGTTCTGTCTCCGCACAGTCCAGCACAGGCTGCTGCTACAGGTTGCCCCTCCAGGGATCAGTGAACACTCGACTCTTCTCTACAGCTAGCAGAGAGTGGCTCCAAGCTAAGCACATCCTAGATGTTTATAAGATTCATTTTTCTAGCAAGCTCTTGCAGGGAGGGAGGGAGGGAAGGAGAGGAAATCTGGAACAGGTAGGTAGCTTTAACATGTATCAACCTCTTGAACCGAAAACAGGCTCATCTCTTCCTCTTTATCTCCCGTCCTAAATCTCGGTACCGTCTTCAATGACCTCTCTGTCAGATCCCCAGGATGCCAAACAAACATTGGGTTGGGGTTAATTTAGTCTGCAGAACAACTAGTTGCAAAATCAATGAGCTGGGTTTTTTTGTGTGTGTGTGTGTGTGTGGTTTTTTTGTTCTCCTTGCTGAAGCTAGAAATAGGTCAAGCAGCAAACCAGCATTTCTGAGGCAGCCAGAGAGACTCGTACCCACAGGTATATTTCAGAGGTGGCCTCTCGCTGGGGTTCATGCTCTCCCCCTGCCTAAATCCCCACCGCTTCCTTTTGACAGAAGAAGGAGGAAGTGAATTGTTGGCAGCACAGAAATGAAACCATTCATATTTCCTTGAACAAAGGTGGTAGATTTTTCAATAGAAAATATACGTAGCATTGCACTGCACCCACTAAACCAAGCCTTACTTCTTCCCCTATCTGTCTTGTGCTTGGGAGCCCTAGCCCTTCACAATGATCCTCTTCTATCTGCGAGGCTCCTTTTGTACAGTGAGTCTGTATATGGCAGATGACCTGAGTGGAAGCAAATGAAAGAAGTGGCATTGTGTGAAGTTATTTTGGATCACTTATGGAGCTGTCAGCTCTCTTTTAAGTCACGGGGAAGTTAATTTGGTCACAGCAAGACAGCAATATTCACAGCACTTCGGGTCCCACCTTTCCTGTTCAGTAAGGCTGTCCCACTTAATTTCCCTTGGAAAACTCCAGCCCCAGTGACTGGTTTTATTTTCCACAGATTTTTCAGGTCTTTGGTTGGTTGGTTGTGGTTTGTTTGTTCGGGGTTGTTTTTTTTTTTGCACATCCCCAGATCTGCCTTTCACAAAACAACAGGAGGTGGTCAGTGGACCACCAAATGCATGCTGTTTTCCTGGGAAACCTATCAATTTTTGCTGAGAGGCTGTAGTGGTACTTGGTACGCTGGGGAAGCTTCAGCAGCATTTTCCTGACGTGGGCTATAATAGGCTGATGCAAGGGGCTTCACAAGCTGTCACTGCTGAGGAAAGGTAGAGGTCTTTGTTTTTGTGTGTACCACGTGCCATGCTGAGTGTGAAATCAACCTTTGAGAAAGCACGCAGTCAGGGCATACGGGTGACAGTCCACACATCACTCACTATTGGTCTTAATTGCTAGGGCAGCAGAGGAGGAATAATTAGACACATGTGGTGTTCTATTTCCCATTTATATTGCAGTTTTTCAAATTGAACTGGCTTCCTGGGAAGGCTTAGTTCTTGGAGCTGAAACCTGGGAGAAAGCAGGCAGCTGCCACTGCCATGCATGGGCTGAGAATGGCTGAAATGTTCCCCTCTGTTTCTTGTGAGTGATCAAGTCAAATATCAGTAGTAAACAGTGAACTTTTTCCAGGCAAGGTCATAGGAAAGTATGTTTAACAACTAAAAACAAACACCTATCAGCCTATTTTGGAAAATGCAAATGAGAAACCTGCTTTATTGTGGCATCTAAATTGGAGTCACTCGCAGAGGAAAGCAAAAAAAAGCTGGGAAATGGCATCGCAGAGCTTTCACCATTCGGAAATGGCTCTGCAGCTTGCCAGTGCAGCTGTTGCAACAAGCCTGGAAAAGGCACTTTCTCATTAGTCCCCTCT